CTATCTATCTATCTATCTATCTATCTATCTATCTATCTATCTATCTATCTATCTATCTATCTATCTATCTATCTATCCATCCATCCATCCATCCATCCATCCATCCATCCATCCATCCATCCATCCATCCATCCATCCATCCATCCATCCATCCATCTGTATTGTTATAAAGTTTCACTGCTCCTCTTTCTTTCTCTCTCTTTCAGTAGACCCCTCAGAGATTCTGACCTCTGATCCAGTGGAGCTCCAGTGCGTCCCCATAGAAACCCATTTCTGCCCCGTCCCCAAACTGCTGGTGTCGGCTCCGGTGGCTCTAAACTCAGTAAGCCTTTCACGTAACCCCAGTTTAAGTTCTTGAAACCCTGCAGCACTGCAGCAAAAAAAAAAAAAGAAAAGAAAAGAAAAGAAAAAAACACGTGCCTCTCCCACAGAGCACACTGACTGAGTGGCAAAGGGAAATTTCTCTCTCTCTCTTTTTTTTTCTTTTTTACGATGTTCTGAACGCTGCGATGGTTCATGCAATACAAGCCAGGACGTATTTCTGCTGCTCTACAGCAGCCGTCCCGATGCATAGTGACTCGATGAGCAATAGATGTCCCTCGTTCTGACAGCCATACCATGACCACACCTTAAACGTGTCGCGAAAGGCACACACACAGACGTGAACACACACATTAAAGACTAAATGCCCTTTATGGGCTGCAGCCATTACCTGAGGCAGCCCAAAACACATTTGATGGTTCCAAAGTAAGAAACGTTCCAACAGACCTGCTGCTGGTCCAAAACTCAAGTTTCATGGCGTGTCATATTTATGTTTGAAAAATGAAAACGTTTTTGTTGTTTTATGTAACGTATATCATTCAGTTTCATCTTGTCTGATAAAATATCAGTTGGTTTGTGCCTTTTTTTCCACTCATCTGCAGACAAAACATGTTTTCCTAAACTAATTAGCAGAAAACATTGAGATGTGTTATTTGCAATTAAAGGCAATATTGATTAAAAGTTTGGAATGTATTAGCCAATGGCTTCTGATGAAGGACGGTTTCATTAAATTGTACTAATCTACACTAATTGTATTTCAGGTTGGGTTTAAATTTATGTTTTTATTTGAGCGTCATGTTTTATTTGTGAGCATCTGGGTCTGAGCAGCAAATGATGCATACCTTATGTGATGCATGAGATGTTGAGTTGTGTAAATTAGAATTTATTTACCTTTATTTGTGTTTTTAAATTTATTTTTTGAGGTGGTGGTTTGAATTTTTTTTTTTTTTTTTGCAAGTGAAAAAAACACACGGCCTTAAAGCAGGTGGGAGAAAGCCTCTCTTTGTGCAACTCTCAACAAAATAAGTTTTTAGCATCAAACTATTATTTTTGAATTAAGGTTGATTTTTTTTTCTTTTTGTTTTGCATAATGTGTAAGAATTTTAAAAGAAAGTTTGTTTATCCCAGTTCCCTGATAAATTCTTGTTACGCAACATTTTTTATTCATTCTTTAGTTTCATCAAATTCAATTCTATTCCTGAGTCCATTCTTTGATTAAAAATGGCACCTGATGTCAGTCACTGCATGAGACAAGAGCTGGGTTTGTTTCCTAATGTTGTGCCTGAAGTTCACTGGATATGCAAGAAAATTTTCCATTTACTGCAATACTTCAGTAAATCCTCTAAAAATACGTGTAAATGTCACGCAGATGTCCATTTTAGGAAGGCGACGTCTTCATGTAATTATCTTGCAGTTTTTCGGGGTGAATACGGGGCACAGATTATTGTCTAATGGCTCTTCAGGGAGAAATCTTAGAACTTGAAATTGTCCTGTTCTGACTTTGTATGGGTCCGCTTTTGTACTGCTGCATCAGACTTTGAATAACAAAACCGCAGCTGTTCTGAGAAAACGAGGGGGTGGGGTGAAAAAAAAGTACAAATACAAGTACATCTGCAAGGGACTGCTTTGTTTGTGTGTAAATCTAAACTTTAAAAACTGGGCTGAAATCACTTTAATCCAAAATCAAATGTGCCTCTTACAAATCTCCTTAAATCATCGCCGTCTTGTACACTGTAAAAACTGACCAGTGCTCAAACATACATGTCATTTAAGAAAATCTAGCAAGAAATCACATCTGTTTGTTTTTTCCTAGAGGCAGCTGTGCTGTCTTCTTGTTAATGTAAGAATTAAATAAATCAGTGTGTCGTGTGTGTAGAAGGAGTAAATGGATCACAGGTTGTGCTGTTTTTAAATGCAGATATTTCCCACTGAACATTATTCATTTTAAAGAATGTTAATGTCTTGTGAATGTATCAAATGCAAAAACTAAACACATGCCGCTCAAAAAGACAGGCATGCTGACATGTGATGATTTACTGTACAGAAACTATTTCAGAGGTACCATAATGATACTGTGCTAAGATGTAGAAAAGTGTGTGTACTGGTATATAGATTTATATTTAATGTCATTAGGTGGCGTGACTACTTCTAAAGATATTTTTCACTTTCAGAAACCTTAGACCAGAATTGTATTCTTAGAGGTACTAATATTCGCTGTTCAGGTACAGTCTGTACAAAATATTATCAAATTTCAAAAAGGTTTACTTAAAAACACCAGTATCTCTGATCATATTTTAGATTTTTTTTTTGTCCCCTATGTTTATACCTGCAAGCGTAGTCTGATTTCTGTCCATAGAATTTGTTTCAGAGTCATTTTGACAACACACGTGTCAAAACTGTGTGGTCTTAGAGTTTTGACCGGTTTATTGTGTGATAATTTGGATTCTCGCCATGTTCAGGCTGAAACAGGCAGAAAAGAGAAATAAAAAATACAACTGGTGCTGGCGAAATGAGTCACAATAAGATTTTTTAAAATTAACTTATTACCAAACGCATCAAAATGATAGTTTATTTAATTTTTTTGTAGTTTATCACTTGGCCTGGCAACAAACTCGTTTTGGTTACAAGAGAGCTGGTTTGAAAGCTAGACTTTTATTGATCTGGAGTGATGTCATCTGAAATACTAGCCCTGTGTTTAAAAAGAGGAATCCCTGAGATGCATAATTCCAAACATTATACCAGTGGTGGGCACAGCTAACCAAAAACAATCATAATCCTCTAACTAAAATATAACTTTGCTAAGATTAAACAGTTAAACAAGTAAAAATAAGCAGAAGGTAATGCTAACAGCTAATCGCTAACTGCTAAGACAGCTATCACTCAGTCTGCGTCACACAGTGCTACAGTAAAATATAATGGTTAACTTCAAATAAATTTATGAAGTTTTAAGACAAAGTATTACTTTATTTATGAAGACATATCCATTAGAAAGCTGGTATTTAAAATGTATTTAAAGGTGGATTAGAAAAACCAAATGCTGTTTTTGTTTCAGGGATTGCTTGACGGTGTCTTTATGGACAAATTTTTTATGCAAAAATCAATATTTCCCATTTGTTTTGCATTTCAGCCTGTACGCTTTCTTTTTTTTTTTAACAGTACGGGTCACAAGTAAATGAATCATGTTAAAAGGAGCCTTATTACACAAAAATGTAATGAAACACACTTTCCAGAAAATAGTTCAGTATAAATTCAGCTTTACTTAAATATGATGACAGATACATGATTAACGTTTTAAGCATATCTTTTTGAATACCTTTAATTTAGTTCTTTCATTTCTTTCTTGACAAATTTAGCCAAAGTACAAAAAAAATAGGTGTATTTTCACTGGACAAAAGTAAGTCAGTGTGTGTGGCACTCTTTGGGTTTTTGACTTTTTTTCTTCAGATTTTCAGTTAAATTTAGGGATTTTATGTTGCTGTTGTTCTTTGGGAGGCTGGAAGGCTTAAACAGGAAACTGTGGACAGACCACCCAGCAGACAGATGCTGTAATACACTTCTTCGGATTAACTTTGAGCTAGGGAATACATTTCTCTCTTTGGCTTCCTAATTAATGTTAACCACATTAAGGAACAGAACTTAGTTTCTTTCCACTTAAACCAAAAATTATATTTCCTTCATATTTGTTTCTAAATATATAAGTACCTCAAGTATTTTGTGGTTTCGTTCATGTGTGAGATCGATTTGGCGCGGTGTCCACAGTAACACAACAAATCCAGTCTGTCTGAAACAAGCAGAAACTGTGTCAAAACAACGCTAACGTTCGGGAACCTTCTCGCTGAGGTTGCAAATCAGTCACTCGATACTGTGGGCACTGGAAGACTGAAACATGATTAAACACAAAAATAAATAAATAACGCAAATGATTTGAATCCAAATTTAAAGGAGAAAAATGGAAAACAAAATTAAATAAAAATAAAATTAATCCACATCTCTCTTCTCCATGACTGTTCTAAAACAGCAGAACTGTCCTGTGAGGAAGTGGGCGGAGTCTCTGCTTGGGTTACCAGGAGAGGAGCTGGGCTCAGGTTGGGGTGGGCTGGAGTGCGACTTGTGACATCACAAGTAGCGGTGTTTGAAAGCAGGTCATTTCAAGACACAGAAAAATACATTTACTTATAGTAAAAATACCTCTGAGTGCATTTTTTTGGTGCTTGAACTGTTTTTTAGAAGCAGTACAGACCCAAATGTAAGTTAAAAAAAATGAAAAAAGTGAATTTTGCATATTTGGTCCCCTTTTAAGGCATGAAGTTTACAAAACTTCAGTTTCATTCTACTTTCAGTGATATATATTCAGTCAAATTATGTAAGTCTATGTATAAAACAAGTTGTTTACTGGACAAAACCTGTCTGATTTCACTTTACCTGGGAGCTAAAATCTGTCTGCTTCAGATATTTTATTTACAGAGATTAGAGGTAGTACATTGTATGGGCCAGACAAACTTTGCGATATAGTATGAGTCAGACATTTGTGAAACATTAATTTGTCAAGCCAAGATCATCATCAGGCTGATAGTCTTGATAAAGGAATCGTCTCTCATGGAGGTATTTGGAACATTTAGATTTATTTGTTTAGACAAAAAAAGGAGTGAGTTTAGCAGACTGTAGTGAGGCATGATAAAATAAAGTTTTCACCTTTCACCCCTGTTATGCTTTTGTTAGGTCTTGCTGTATTTTCCCTCCACGGTCTTGAATCCTAAAACATTTAAAAATAAATAAAGCTCAGATTGTTGGGATCTGATCTGTTAGCATGTACACGTTTATTCAGTTTAACAATACAAATAAAATAGGCCCTTTTTCTCAAGTACTGTACAATAATAGTTAGAAAAATAAAATGTGTAATAACTGTAATTATTTTTAACGTTTAAAAGATGGCATGGAAACAAATTTAATATCAAATTATATATATTTAATAGTTTTGTTAAGAGATCAACAGGAAAACAACAAGAATCATTTGTACATCGATGATATTGTTGTTGATGGTAATTGTTGGCAACAAAATCCCATCAAGCTGCATTTCCTTTACCCTAGTGTCATTTTTTTTCTTATAAATTAAATTATGAAGCTAATTTATTGAAAAACAGAGTGAAATTAGTTTTTTTTCTTGTTGCAGCGTGATTTAACAGTTGATATAAATGGCTCAAATTCTTGAAATATCCAAAGGTTCTTGGGTCGGATCAAGTGTTTGTTTTGTTTTTTTTTTGTTGACCATAAATGTTTATCTTGTACTTTTTGTTTTAAAGAAATAAAAATGGATGTTTAAAGTAAAAATCTTACCTGTCAGGAAGGTAAAGAGGCTTTTGGATGAACTGAAAGTTTGTTTGTTTTTTTTTTCAATAAAGTCAAACTAGTTTGCCTCCTTCAGACCGGACCGGTTCTGTGGAGTTCTGTTTCAGTTTTGGCCAAAAACAAATGAGGTCATAAAGTCTCTTTGTGCCCAGCTGTGCTGGGTGATGTCAGTCCTGACTGAGGTGTATACGAATGTTTGATGTTCACCTTGTTTGCACTTATGTACATAAAATATGTTCAAATACTCTAAATTTATTTTGAATAAACAGATAAAAGAGATGATTAAAGTAATTGGTGTATTGTTAATAGAATGTTTATTGTTTGTTACTGTGTGGAAAGCTTGTTTTGCGGTATTTGTCCTTGTGTTTGTGTGTTTGTAAGGACTTTTTTTCCCTTTTTTTTTGTTGCCATGCGTGATTTTGCTTCTCTGTCAACTATTTGCTTTAGACAAGCTTTACTTTCAGTGTGGGGTATTTTATTTAAAAAGTGTGACTCTGGCATCAAAGAGAAGAGATGGATTAGAGCAACGGGTCAGTCAGCAGTAAATTTAAGAAATCTTGTCTCTAAAAGCTCATTGTGAATGTACAAACATGCAAACACTTCAGTAAATCACAGAGATGAAGCACAGAGTCAGTCTGCCTGCAGGCTGAAAACCAGCCAGGAGATACATCAGAAACATACATCAGTTTGGGTTTAAACTGATTTTTTTTTTCATTTATTTATTTTTGTTATTTTGCTGATTGTATTTTCCCTTCTTTTGCATAATTCTTGAGTACAGCAACTCCAAATTTTCACCAAGATTTTGAGCCCAAACTTAAAACAGTCATGTTTTCTAGCCTGCTCCTGCAGAAATGATGACATCAGTGATTCTGTTGCCGTGACTCTCGTCTTTGTTGAGGACTGAGTCGTCCTGGTGAATCTCTTCACAACTGATCCTGTCAGACTCCCTGAAGCGTCTTTACGTCAACTTTCTCGTCAGCTCCAAGTGTAATATTTTTAAAATATATATGTAGTCGATGGTACTTTCAGTTGTAATTGTGCCTTCTTTGTGCAAAACTGATTATGTGTAATAAAATATTAATTTTGTTTGAAGTCAAATCATCGTTACATCGTGTCATAAGTCGGGGACAAAATCATGGACTGAACGACAGCCTGAGGAAAGTGAAGAGGCCCAAAGACTGTTCAGGACTAAGCCATAAGAATAAACTCTGAACACTCTTAAGACAGACTGGCTGCTGTTATTATTATTATTATTTTTTGATCAGCTTTAGTTTCACTTAGCTTCCTGCTTGTGCTCGTCTGTGCTGCTCTGCTACACGCTGGTTTATTTTGCTCTGTATAGCTGTTAGGAGTTCATGTGCCTATGATGAGTTCTGCGGTTTATGTTTGACCTTAAATAAAACACTTCATTGTGACCCTCTCGTCATGTTTTCTTTTTCCAGAACTATTGTTTTTAACATGTTGACATTACAATAAGTTTGAGCTATTTTTAGAGTGGAAGTCAAACATGCCCTGTCACGGAGGTTAAACTCACAAACTCATTTGTATTTCTGTTCTTAACACGACCTCTTCTGCCTTACGCTGTCACAGCACCACCATCTAGTGACTGGAAATAAAAACAGAACACTTTCACTGTGTAAACCTCAGAACACAACGACATCGACTCATGCCTTACGTCAAATAACCCTGAAATTCTTGAGTGTCATCTTCTAGTTCCAAGTTTAGCTTATCGTATGGTGTGGTATTCATTTCATTAAAAAAAATTCTATATACAATAAAAATACAAATCACAAATAAAATGAAAGGCAGCAGAAAGAATAAACAAATCTTATATCTGCCCTTTTTTCAAGGAAATTAATTCAAACAATAATAATCTTCAAGTAACAAAAACAAAACAAAAAGTTAATTCCTTTTTTGAGCAACAATTCATACAGATGCACATTCTATTTCATATTCTTTCAACAAACTTTTACCATTTTCTTAAACAAAGACATTGATCTGGCATCTTTAACATCACTCTCTAGAATTTCAAATTATGGAATAAAGTACATTGTTCCTTCAAACTGGTTCTAAATGTAATATCTCCATCCCCTTAACCTCTTAAGGCCTAAGGGGTTTTTCTTCATGTTTTTGCTCAAAATACCATGCTGAAATGTAACTGAGTGTATCTCAACATTTACAAACTCTACTTAAATAATCTTGGTATCAAAATAAAGCTAACACTTGGGAGATTTTAAGAAGTTTGTGTATTAAAACAGCTGCTGTTGTTTTGGAGATATTGAGGATGGAACATTTTTTTCCCTCCCGTCTGAATAATTTTTGGATGGTGCCATGAAGGTACCTTTAAATGTTAAGAAATCTTAAGTTTTTAATTGCAAAAGTTTTTTTTATTTTTTCTTACCTGACTGAAAAGACTTGTTATTGAATGTTTGTTCTTTGGAAAAATTATCCAAACATTTATTTATTTATTTTTTATTTATTATAATATTTATTTACATATTATATAAAATAATGAGAAATTATACTTTAATTCAGTTGGATCATATTCAGTCAAAATCAAGTAAAAAAAACTTTAAACACACTTTAAAACCTATTTTGCTTTGACTTACTTTAAAAACAAATGTCAGGAAATTTTCCAAATTTGCTTGAATGTATTTACAGATTTGCAACAAGCCCATTTTGTACAGTTTGTTTACTTTCTGATTCAACTGCCCGTCATTTTAACTGTGGTCGGTGGATGTAAATATAGTTTCCATGAGCTTTTAGCCAAGAGTCTTTGTTTTCTATTCATACCAAACATGTCAAAGTTCAACTAACAGATCTTAACAGAAGTTAAAAGACATAGAAAATGGGAAATTCTGGTTTGCCTATGGCTCAAGAGGTTTTAAGAGAACAACTCTCTCTTTTAACAAATTTCAATTAAATGTTAGAAGGTAATGTGTTTTTGTGAGCTTCATACATAACCAATAAAATACTATTATCAACTTCAGTTGATGAAATGTATTTTATGGATGACTATAATGTTTTCTAGTAATAATTCTTACAGCTCTTTTCTGTAAAATAAAAATAGGATTTGTAATTGTTTTGCAGGCTTTAGCCCAGACTTCAATACAATAAGTCAAGTGTGGAACAATTAGAGCTTTATCATTGAATAACTCTCTTACTTCATACAGGCTACTGCAATAGATTTAGCTATTTTTATTCTTACATAATTTATATATCATTACATTTTAAATTTATTTTTAATTCATGGATTTTTTTGAGCTGCAATCACTGCTCACTAGCAGGAAAATAACTGCAGTAAAAACAGCTGATCATTCTTTAAACAAAGGCTGCTCAAGAGCAGAAAGCTCCAAAAACAGTTTTCCTAAAAACAAACATTCATTGACCTCACTGGCTACAGCAGACTTTACATATACATGTTAAAATTTACAATCAAAACACCAAACAAAAAGACTAAATGCTTAAATCTCAAGATTTTTTTTCATTAGCTTGAAGGAAGTTTCATTTTGTTACACCCAGAACATAAAAATTGAACTTTACTTTAAATTGTAACACATATTTACACTTACAGATTTAAATATGACCAACTCATGAAAGAAATTGTTCATGCACTGCAAAAATGAAGTGTTGGATTTATTTATTTAACTTTATTTACCCAGGCAAGTCCTGTTGAGATCTCTTTTCCAAGGGAGGCCTGGAGGCAACCTACATGATTTTAGGGGGGTAACCGGAGTACCCAGAGATAACCCATGCAAGCATGAGGAGAACATGCAAACTCCGCACAGAAAGACCCCCACGTCCGAACCGGGATTCGAACCCAGAACCTTCTTGCTGTGAGGCGTCAGTGCCACCGAGCCGTCATTGGTTAAATTTACTTAACCAAGTTTTGTCAACTGGTTCCAACTGGTTTGTCAACTGAGTAGATGTAAAGCATTTGCTCTAAATTGCTGTTTACTCAACTCAGTTTAGTGAAACCAGTTTGGTAAGTAAATTCAACTCTTCATTTCTTAGACAGTGTGTAAAAGTACTTTTACTTTTACTTTCTCAATTACTGTGAGCAGTTTTATGACTTTGATTTAAGTACTTTTCTTATCAGTGAGATTACTTTTTTACTAACGTCCTCTCTGTTAAGATGTTTTTACTTTTACTTGTTTATTTTAAGTACTTTGTATAGCTTTGGGACTGGTCTGAAACTAATGATAATTTACTATGAACCCTAATTATGGTCAGATTAAACCAAGAC